AGATTTCATATAAATGAACTCATGCAATATATGGCCCCTGTGCCTCTCTTTGCATGATGGTTCCAAGGTTCATCATGTTGTAGCATCTGTCACATCCTCTTCCTTTTAGGGCTGGATAATATTCCATTATATGAATTCAACCATCCATCAGTTCATGGTTATCTGCCATGTCTATGTGAAGTGTGCTGCTATGAAAATTCCTGAACAAGTTTGTATGAACAGCTATTATAATTTAATGTATGCACAAAGAATTTGAATTGCTAGGTCTATTTTTATTCCAGCCATCTTAGTGGGTGGGAGGTGGTATTTCATGTGGTTGTGATTTGCATTTCCCTAATTATAGATTTGATTTATTGAAGATCACTTAATTGCCTAATTGGTTTCAACAGTGGCTGCAGCATTTTACAATTTTCCCAGCCATGTATGAGAGTTCTGATTTCTCAACATCCATTCCAACACTGGTTAATTTATGGGGTTCTTTTATTTATTTTTTATTTCAGCCATCTTAGTGGGTGGGAGGTGGTATTTCATGTGGTTGTGATTTGCATTTCCCTAATGTCAGAAGCATCTTTTCACATCTTGTTGGCTATTTTATATCACCTTTGGAGAAATGTCTAGTTCATTACATCATGTACAACCAGAAGAATGAGAAGTTAGGGTTAGGGTATGATGGGTCAAATGCATTCTACTGTCATGTATAACTAATTAGAACAACTAAAAATAAAAAAAACAAGTGTCTAGTTCAATCATTTGTCTATTTTTAATTGCACTGCCTATTCTTTATTGAGTTATAAATTCTAAGTAAACATAACCTCAGTATTTTATTGTCTTCACAATAAAACACAAGGTGAAGCTAGGAACTGTATCACTTGCTCATTTCTTATCCCCGCCTATTCACAATGCTTGCATCTCTCAGGAGCCAGCATTCTCTGAGATCTGCAGCTGGGCTTGGCTCAAAACAATGTTCTTTGTAGATTTAGCTTTGTCCCAGAAAATCAGTGTGGTCTGTCCACCATAGTCATCTGTTTCCTGTCACAACATTTCTTTCTTGTGCACACAGAGAATCCTTTCCCTTCATGGGTTGGTGCTTGCCACACTTACAGGGAGTCTAGAGGGGCTTGGGAACATTCATGGTGGCTGTGGGAACATGATTGACATGAAAAGCAAGAGTTCACACATTCTGAACACTACACCTTCAACTAGATGACTGGCTATCAATTTCTCCCATTCTGTAGGTTGCTCCTCACCTTTCTTGATAATGTAATTTGATGCACAAAATTTTCATTTTCATGAGGTCCATTTGCTTTCTCTTCTACTGCTTGTGCCTTTTGTGTCAGATCTGAGAAACCATCTATGTCTTCTTCTACGA